GAGCCGAAGAGTTGGGGAGGAGCAGAGCCGCCACGGCTGGAGGCTCTGCTCCTCTTCAGCTCTGTTTAAGAGACGAGCGCTACCGGCTTCGGGCAGCCCCCATTCCTCCGGACCCTGCGCTGCCGGAGCCCGGGCGGGGAAGTGCCCGGCTGGGGGCGCAGGGTCCGGAGGCAAGGGGGCTGCCCAAAGCCCGAGCACTACCGGCTTCACGGTTTGCCGGGCAGCCTCCAGACCCTGCGCCCCCGGCTGCGCGCTTCCCCTCCCGGGCTCCAGCTGCGCTGGGGAAGCGCCAGCTGGGGGTGCAGGGTCTGGGGGCTGCCCGGGAAACCGTGAAGCTGGTAGCACTGGGGCAGCCCTTTCCCCCTGGCTGGGAGTGGGAGGGAGGAGGGGGCGGAGTTAGGGTGGGGAAGGGGCGGAGTTGGGGCGAGGCTATGGGTGGGGAAATGGGCGGGGCCAGGGCCCGTGGAGGGTCCTCTTTTTTTATTTATGAGATATGGTAACCCTAGGCCCAGATCCAAACTTTGCAACTTGAGTTTTCTGTGCATTTTTCACTAAGACATTAGCAAAATCCCAGCCCTGTCCAGCCCAGCCCTGCCCTGCCCTGCTCGGAGGACGCAGCATTCTGGGCATGCTCCGCTCTGAGCATCCGCGCGCCCACGCGGCCTCTTGCGCCTGTGGCCACGCCCATAGAAAACTACAACTCCCGCCATGCCGTGGGGCGGGGCGGTTGAGCGGTGCCGGCGACAACCTAGCCCGGGGGGGCACGCGCCCCGCCTCGCCCATTGGTCAGCCAGGCCACGTCAATCCGCTGGAGGCGGGGCCCACTGCCGGGCTTTGTCGTCCCCTGCTCGGCTTCCGTAGCGGGAGGGAACGCAGGTGCAGCCGCCGGCGGCTCCTAGCAAGGGGTAGCTGTGGGGCGGCCTGACCCCAACTCTCCCGGGCCCCAGAGCCTGGCCCCCCCACCCCCTACAGCCCCTCTCCTGGGCCCCAGAGCCTGACCCCCCCACAGCCCCTCCCCCCCCGGTCTGACTCTCCCCCCCCCAGGCCTGGCCCCCCCTCAGCCCCTCCCCCCAGGCCTGGACCCCCAGAGCCTGCCCGTCCCGCCCCCCTCCAGCCCCAGATCTTGA